AAAACTAAACAAAAACTTAACCTTCAGATAAGTTGGGTATGAGTTGAATAGTATGGCAGAGAAATAACTATTTACTAAAAATAACTATTTATTAAATAATTATTTACTATAATTATTTAAAATTAATTAAGTAATTTAATATTTTTGTCAATTGAAGATAATATTAATTCAATTTGTATATTTAAAAGATTAAAAATATATTTAATTCTATAATTTAATATTAAATGATAAATTTTTCCTAAAAAAATTAAAATAAATTATTTAATATGATTGATTAAAATTAATTATGTAAAACAATATGATTGATTAAAATTAATATGATTGACTTTTTCTTTCCTCAAAATAAAATATTTAATGAAAAATATGAGGTATAACTTGATCAATTTTAAACTTGATTTTCCATTAAAAAAAGTAGGAGTAAAAAGTCGGTGTTATGTCTAATAAAGGACGGTCTAGAATTAAATAAATAAGTATTTATGACTCCTAATATAACATATTTATATAGTTTAAAGAATATAAAATAAAAATAAATATTAAAATACATAAATTAAAAAATTAGAGTAATATTTATGATAATTAATTTAATTGATTGTGACTAATTTTTTTATAACTAATATGGTTATTTTTTATTTTATAACTAATATGGTTATTTAAAAAAAATTTAGAGTATATATAAATAAGCAACACATAGAAATTGAAATGTTAGCTGAATAACAAAATTCGTGCTTATAAATTTTTATGTATATAAATAATATCTATATCTTTTTTTTATAAAAATATTTATTCTCCGTTTATAAAAATAACATTGTCTATATTTTATTTTTTATATAAAACCATATTTTTATATAATGTTTTATAATTTATTTTTAATTGAATGTAATATTTAATATTTTTAAAATAGAAAAACGAAATATATCGTAGATATTAGAAAATTTTATAAAATTAAAAACTAATAAACTTATTATCATTTAAAAGTAAAAAGAATAAAAAAGGAAACAAATCAAATGCCTATGATATTATTGTTTCGTGAATTTTACTGTGTTGTAACGCTATTATATTATTAAAATGCTAAATATAGATAAATTAATAGACCTATATGAATAATTGTATAAAAATAAATTATTTTTCAATATAAAATAAGTTTCGTAACTATTAAATAATAGATATAAAAAATTAAAATTCATAATTAGTTATTTGCAATCTTGATTTTTCCACTATAATAATATTATATTTTTCTCGTATTAAGATAAGTAGCACATATTAAAATATTTTGAATTTAACTACATATATAATTTATTAATGATCAAATTGTGATTATGTTCTCTTTGTGATTTGTAACCTATATAAAAATAATAAAACAAATCAAAATTCATTAGATATGATGACTTAAATTTGATTTATATCTATATTAACTTCTATTTCCTAGGAAAATTGTACTTAACAAAAATTAAAGAAATCAAATAAAAGAAAATGATTTGAAACGTGATAGCAAATCAAACTAAGATGTCAGTTGATTTGTTCTGATGTGGCTTAATCTCATTTCTTCATCATATTCTAAAAAAAATTATAACACCAAAACAATAGAAGAAGAAAAATTCATCAAAATAAAAAAAAAAAACAAATAACAATACAATAACAAACAAACAACATCAATGAACCATATATCATCATCTCCTTGCACTTTCATCCGATTACAAAAATTGTACCTAATTTTCTCCATAAGTTTGACTATATTTGAATATTTTATGCGAAGAAGATGATATAGAGAAATACTATTTAAGATTTTTTGGCTAAAGAATTGAGCAATTTTCTCGGCTCATCCACTTGTCAAAAGAATTTATGAATTTTCAAAAAATATCCGGGACAGTAGACTTTTTAATATCAATCTAATTTATATATACTGACTTTGTAATTAGTGCACAGTGTGTAAAATTAATTTACGTTGTCAGTACATTATTGATTTTCTCTTTAAATATTTACTCATGAAAATGACATATACATGATAGAAATTGGTATCAAGAATATATTAAACAAAGTTTATTAAATTTTCTCTGAAAAAAAAGATTTTAGCTGAGACAAAATACGTATATATTCACACTATTACATAATTGAAATATTACTCAAATGTGATTCTTAACAAGAATTTTGAAAGTTTTGGGTCTCTCTTTCTCATTAACACTCAAATTTTTTCAGGATAGTCCTCTAATATGGAGTTTTCTTATTTTATATTCATATCTAATAACTGTCCTATAATTGTCCCATAATTGCTACTAATTTTTTTCTAATAACTGCTGCTAATTATTAATATTAAAAAACACATGTCCCATAATTGCTACTATTTTTTTCTCTTTCTAATAACTGCTAAAAACATATTCTTAATAAAAAATAAATAATTGTCTACTCTTTTAGAGCAATTTATTTTTTGATTTGATATGGATCATTAAACCCTTGCCTCAACTTCTCATTCTCTCTCTTCTTAGTAAGAGATTTCGGTCTATATTGGTTGAACTTTTGAGAATTTCTTAATGTATTCTAAGTGTTTTCTTAAGCATTAGTGTAAATTTTCAATATGCTCTTAGGAATTGGAAATGTATTTTGGTGCGCACCCTACTATATGAGAAAAACATACAAATCAAAAGTACACTTACGATTCTCAAACCGATGTTGTATTTTCCGATTACACTTTAAATGAACTAAATAGTTTTACTATGAAAAGTCACACTCTACCACGTTGATATGAATCGGAAATGCAACATTGATTCCAAACTATAAGTGTATTTCCGGTTTGTATTTTGACATATATACGCGCTACCTCTTTCCCTTCTTCATTTGCTGCAAACACAAACAAAACACAAAATCTCTTCCCTTCATCATTTGTTTCAAAATCCATCAATTTATCACAACACATAAAGAAATCATCAGGCATAATCGGAATCAACCAAGAAGAATCAATCATTGTAAGTTGTTTTTTAGCACTATTGAGTATTTCTTTTATTTTACATACAAATTGTGTTTTAGGGTAGTAAAATATAGTTTTTTTAGTTCTTGTAATGTTTGAATTTAATATGGAAGTGTTAACCATGTCTTTTTGACGATCAATGCTTGTTTTTTTGTCCCATTGGGGGTCAACTTCGCCATTGACGAACTTGTTAAGTTGCAAGTCATACCGGAAGTGTACTTCCAGTTTTATTCTTGACTAAAAATCGAAAGTATACTTTCGGTTATATTATGCATCTGAAAGTTTTCCCCCTATTTATGTGCAATAATGTTATTGTTTAATACTTGTTTTGTTTATTCTACATGTATTATGGCTGAGAGACCATCCAGATTGAGACACAAGAGACTTTCACAGCATGCTTTCGTGCATATGGAAAGGATTCAGGCTTTTCTGACTCCTAGACAGGTTGTGTCGGATGCACCTATTACCGATGGTGTTTCTACTTTCACTTTGTCGACCAGGAGGCAAGAGTCTCTTGTCCATCCATCTCCGCCTCCATCCTTCCGCAGACGTACGTCTTCATCGCAGGTATCTAGACGGGAGAGGCATTTGATTCCCACCCAAGACTACACCACATTCAGTTCATACCTTTCCACCTCCTCCCTCCCACGGATGCCCTATGGTCTTTGAGACAAGAGAGACTTTTTCTTCCAGCCGACACTTGCTCCAACCCAGCCTACACCAGTTCCCACCCAACTGACACCAGTGGCACCCAGTCTGCACCGGCGGCCCATCCATAACCTGTATCAAAGGCCCATCCACAGCCTGCACTAGAGGCGGCACCAGAGGCGCCTCAAGTTTTTGGAGGAGGACCTTCTGATTTGTCATTACTGTCGTGTATCCAGATCATGTTGCCAGATACTTATGGGATGGAGAGGTAAATATTTCATTTAACAATTGTTATGTATTGTGTTTATTTTTTTGCTAAGTATTTTGTTCATTTAAGTCTTGTGTGTTTATTTATGCATGCAGGACCATGATCCACTCAAGATAATTAACCATGCTAGGAAGATCAGTCGCCTGGTACCACCCACCGAGTCATGGTTCTAGGAGCTGATGCACATCACTGAGTTGTGTAATTTGGTCTTATATGGATATATTATCCTTAATCATGGTATGATTAATGCTTTTGTTGAGAGATGGCATCACGAGACATCATTGTTCCACCTACCACATGGTGAGACGATAATCACACTGGACGATGTCGCGTGTCTGTTGCACGTTCCGATTAGAGGGGGTTTTTAGATCATGAGAGGTGAACCAAAGAGGAGGCGCTGGATATGTTGGTAGAGTACTTAGGAGTTACTCCATAGGGTGTTATGGCTGAGATCGACAAAACTGTGGGCGTCATGTTAGATTTAGCTACTTGCAGTAGGTGTTCACAGTTGAGCTAGGGTGTGCATGACATGCTACTGGTGACGATTTGCGGGTAGTCCAGCACAAAGCACATGCTATAAGGGAATATATTTTATATCTGGTTGGTATGCAGATTTTTATGGACACTAGTGCCACTTATACTGATATCATGTACCTGCGGTTCTTTAACGATTTTCAGCGGATCGCTGAGTGAAACTGGGGGCAGCTTGTTTGGTGTATTTGTACCAGAAGTTGTCTGAAGGCATTAAGTGGAATACAAAATAGATGACCAGCAACATCACACTTTTGACGGTAACATTTCTTATTCTTATGTTATTTTTGCCTTGTTATGTAAATCACTTTGACGTGGTTACTTACTAATGACGGTGACATTTCCGACCTGGATCCTACAGCATGTCCCTCA